CGAAAAAGTTTATTAAACTATGTCGTCACACCTATCGTCAGAACCTCCAAGTTGTTGATATTTTGATTTTTACTTACAATTTCACCTGATTTACGGTACAAAAAAAAGGGTTTTCCCAAGGCTTTTCCAAGAAACGCTGCCATTTTGTTTATTTTCGATGAAATAAATAAGTGGAGGTTCTGACCATAGGTGTGACGACATAGTTTAATAAACTTTTTCGATTTTCTGTTTCAGATTACCAGGACAGCCAAAATCACCTGCGCCAGCGAATAACCTTTTTTTTGCACACATGCATATTATTTTGTACATAAATGACAAAATATTTTTTACCAAAAAAAATTTTTTTATTTACTTTCCTTAATCATACCTTTAAGGGGAAAAACATTTATTCAATTTTATGCAACAGTTCCTGAGAAAAAGATTATTGGAAATTATTGGAAATATATGGAAATTGCAAATTATTGAAATTATTGGCTTTTTTTTGTGCATTTACAGTGAAATGCCCCCTTAAACAGAAATGGGTTTAGGAAGGAAAATATAGTCGATCACATAAGTATTCATACCCTATATTGTTGTACATATGTTATCTTATTTTAAAATAGTCACAAAATCATTAACTAGTAAATGAATTATCTATATAATTGTTACATCCGGCCCTGCCGGTGTCCCTTTTCATCGACCTCGCATTGCGAATAAGTTAAGATCAATAGACTTTAAGGAATGCGCTCGGTAAATGATGCGGAAATCGTTTCTCGGGTACGAAATAATGCAAACCGCGAGTCAGCAAACGGGCATCAGCGATGTTAGGCCGTTGCATACGAATCGGCCATCGAACTTGCGACATGTCCCAGATTCGGAAATGTAGAAATTAAGATTTCGAAATTAGTCTCATTTAGGTATCGTGTATCGTATCTCCAGCAAAGTAAAGAGTTCGCGTAAGTGAGAACATACGCACTAAAGATAGAGTCATCGCGGAGTTACCTACGAAAGTCCGACGTTTATTATTCGCCAATTATTAGAGTCCCGTGTCGCGAGTGTACAACCAGACCAGATCCTCGCCACAGCCGAGCCCGGGACAACCTGACAACGCCGCCGATAGCATAAGATCAACGATTGGTATTGTTAAACCATTTTCAATTGTATAATTTTTATTCTTGTTTGTAAGTAATCCCAAATTCAGTTTTGTTTCATAATTATATTTGTTAATACTCAAACTTAGTGACAATTATTATAGAATCCCAAAATTCCTTCTTTTCCAATTAAATACAGATAAGGTGAGCTTTAGCTCTTTAATCGAAGACAAGAATCCCTAAAGAAAGTCCCAAACTAGTTGGGACGTAACATAATTATCGTTATACAAACAATATGTCTCGTTCGAAGAGACATTCGCCATTGCAAGGACCGTTACATACGGCTATTCGCGTTAGCCGAAAAACAGCAGAAACATACATACTTACATACACATCATCGTACCAACTTTAGTGAAGATCCTGTCCGTATATACTCATTAGCTTGCATATACATATAGCTTGCATGAAATTTCCATATTTGAAATTTTGCATTCAGCCGATAGTTTTGGAGTTAGAGCGCTGTATCACTAAGGCTGGGACGCCCTGTATGTCTATACATGAAGATGCTTACATATTTTTTAGCATCCTCCTTTAAACAAATTTGTGGAACTCAACATTTTTCTAAGGTAGAATGTTCAAAACTGTCCATTTCTGAGCATCCTCCTTTAGACAAAGTGGAACTGAACATTTTTAATAATCCTCTTTTAGATAAATTTGGGGAAATAGGCACTTTTGAGCATCCTCCTTTAATGTTAGGTTTGATGAGATAAACTTTTCATTATAAATACATGCATGTATAAAGTTTATTTTTGTGCGTATATATAATGAATAATTTATTTTGAAGAATAAAATCCATTACTTAATTTAGTAAAATTGTTTCAATAGTCATAGAGGGTACTAATACTTATGAAACTGACTGTATGTACCAGTATCAGAGAGGTATTCTCATTTAAAACGTCCTGCTTTTTGTAATTTCAAATTGGGTACACTACACATACTTCCCCTTTACACTTCACAAGAACGGTCAATGTATATGGAAGACACGTGGCGCGAACTCATAGGGTGACCTAATTCCTTAAGAGTAAGTGAGTTCTATTTATAAGGGTGCGAAATCGTATAACTTGACTATAACACCTAATGTACCAGGTTTACATTTGTTTCTCCTCTATATTTATTTAACTCTATGGTTTCGATTTTCTGAATTCGGTACATTCTACTTGAGTCTTACTCGACACAGGACCGTAGAGGATTAATTCTTACTTTACATTACTTTACTTACCATTCGTTGTTACCATTTGCTGGCTTCCCTATTAGGCATTATAATTATTTAATTCCTATTAGCGATGCCAGTAGTCTGTTGGGGTCAACTGGTTCTCTTATAGCTCGAGTACCTCGTGATTGCTAAACCCGTAGGAAGGGACCCCAATATCGTACACTTCTATATAACATTCTGTAGTTTACTGGAAAATTGAGTTAGATATTTTACGGTTACATAAAATTACACAAAAATATGTTTATTGATAATGTGTTTATTAAAAAAAATAATATTTTTACATAAAAGTAGAAAAATTCTTACGTTAGAATTTCTTGTTCTTTCTGGTAAGTAGAAGAACGGATGCCTAATATCGCCTATACGGTATTGGGGACTGTATAGGTAGTCGATATTAGGTCACTTAACATTTTTCTTATACATTATCCTACCAAACAAAAACATGGATTCTTTATTCCATGTTTTACGCTTTGCTGGAGCAGCCATTTCGTCTTCTATAAGGTAAAAAAAAGTTACCCGCATTAGTTAAAGGTGTTGCCCCAATATGACACAGTGCGAAATTAGTTTACGATTGGTATGCAATATTGGGGAATTTTGTACTTTGTACTTGTTATGAAAATACATATGTCAACTTTTAACACAAAAACATAAAAATTCTATCTGTACAAACAATAGTCTAGGCTCTTTGCACTACACGTAATTTGGTAAAATCGAGAGTTCATACTTACTTCTAAGCAAAAACGATTTTCGGTAGCACGTGCAATAAAACTTGAAAACTGCGCAAATTTACTATTCAGGCTAAAGGCCACCTGGTGTTGGATGTAGGCGTTGTTGTTTATTTTCTAGATGAAAATATACTTTAAGATACCGTTACTTTATGGTTTGGACCTATAGATATTATAGTTTTTATAAATGTCCAGTGTACGGTATTAAGAACCTATGCGATAATGGGGTCCCTTCCTCTACTGTATCTACAACCAAACATAGACTGGACGTTTAAGTTTTTACAATAATAATTACTGTCAATAATAAAGAAACAAAAATTTGATAATAACTTATTCACTACAGAATCCCTCAACAAGAGGAATAAAAATTGTATGGTTTGGCTGCACTGATAATGTTATTTCCGATGTACAGTTAGAGATATAAGAAAAGCGTGAAGAGAAATTGTCCTTTTATCCCAAAAATTCGATTTAAAAAAAAATAGTATTTATTAGACCTCTAAGTATCTGAAAACATAGAAACTTTTGTTCAATATATTTAAAGAAAAATATCGTGAAAAAAACTTCGTGATTCAAAGTAGCGCCATTTCGTTACTTTTCAATCGTGTATCAATTTCTATAGAAAATTGTTTCATCCAAAACTTTTCGAAATTCTAAGCATAAAATCAATATTTTAATATTTATTAGAAAGAAATACAAACAAATGGTTTTACCATTACTTAATGCCACACAATTGGCTGCCACTGTATCCCCCACCGCTCGATCGCGATTGAGCGTTCAGACGTTTTTTAGTCAACTTTAGAAGGGTTTTTCTCATACTTTAAAACATTTTATCAAAAAATTAGAATATACGTTTCATAGTACATGACATCAATTATTCAAATCTTTTTTTAAAATAAAACGCATACAGGCTCCACGGAAAAAAGGCTATTGAAAAATTCAGATCATGATTGTGAGAAAACTAATTATCCGACAATCTCTGTGTTTTGCAGACATGAAAAACACATCAATCGCCACTTAGCAAAAGGCCAGCGCTTCACCTCCAAAAATGGGGGAGTTGTGAATTTTTGAAGAAACGCTGAATTTTCCGATTTTCCCGATTTTTCTCCGTTTCTCATTATCCGATCGAGACATTCGAGGTCTCATTCTGTAATTATTTTCATCATCTACATTTTATCTCGTTGGAGCATTGCTATTGCTGCAATAGTATATGTTGGATTTTCTCTTCACTAAAAGAGAAAATTTTCGTTACAAAAACCATCTCTGCGCATTTGGGTTTTTTTCCTAGACACAAGTTAAGAGGGTGCAGCTGCGTCCTATCTTGGCTTGTTTAGACAAAATATGGGACCGATAGGGTCTATAGTTCAGTAACGAAGAATTTCGTTACTGACCTCACTTTCATTCATTCGAGCTGCTTCTAGCGAACAGAACAGACGTTCTCTTCCGTATGTTTCGAATACAGTTTTTAAAGTCAAGTTAGAATAAAAGTCTACTCATTTATTCCACCACCTATATTTCAAGAATTTAAAATTTATAAGCAAAAAACCACACAAATTACGATTTTTTTGGATTAAATTGTTTATACCAAGAAAACAGAACAGAGTTGGCAGTGAAAAACATATACCTATTAATCTACGCATCCCCTTTTATGTAATTGCAGAATTGGTTTGCTGTTAGTATTATTGTCACAAACACGCTGTTTTAATTCTCTACCGATTGGCCTATCCATTTAATCCCATTCGTGCCCTGGTCAATCATGTGTCCCATTTTAGTTGTTCGCTGTTCGTTCCGATCGTCGATCCTACTAGCGCATAGCGTTTAGATAACTCTTTGACCTAACCAAGCAGTGCTCCGCAAATTGACCATACGCTTCGCGTTCGCGCCGCACCCGACGATTAACACGTACGTACTGGAGAGATACGAGATACGAACTGAAAGATAGAAACTCCACTCCAGTGGTGGACGGAACGTGACGCGAGCAACTCCTCGATAACGGATATCTTCCTTTCGCTAGCCAGCTATCCGTCAAATCGAAGAAAGGCATCATACAACGCGAAAAAAGTGTGCTAAGCGTTTAAGAACAATTTTGAAGGTTCGAGGTAGACTACTGTACGAAACAGGACGAAACAGGAATTTTTAACACACGAATAGGAGGAGTATAGCGAGCTCTCTTCTTCCTAGAGAGCCTCTTAGTGAAAACGAGCAAACGTGTCACCGAGTGAGATAAAAACAAAGTGTGCTTGAAGCATTTGAGAACAGTTTCGAAGTGTCCAGTCAGGTTATTAAAGATCTCTGCGAAATCAGAAATTTTTGAGGAATAGTGGATGTGTAGTAAGTCCTCTTCATCATCGAGAGCCTCCTCTTCGAGGAACCGAAAGTATCGTCGCCGTGTCACCGAGTGTAATACAAAAAAACTGTGCTTGAAGCATTTGACAACCAATATTGAGTTTCAAGTTAGCATACCAGGTACCTACATAAAACGGAAATTTTACCTCACAAGTAGAAACTTATAGTAAGGTTTCTTTTGCCTCTTTTTCATGGAGTGGAGAAATAACATCGTATCGTCGAGTGTGATTCGGAGGAAGTGAAAACAAATGCCCAGAGGATTTCACGTAAAACGTCTCGTTATCGGAGAAATCGAACGTCTGTGCCAAGGAAAGCGAGAGGCATAGTCGCGCAAGAACAAAGACTAATCGATTGTTTCGTGGTTGGAAGTCTTTTCAATCGATCGCGTTAAGACAAAAAAGTGTGATCGTGTTATGCTCCCCTGTGTTTAAGCGTTCACTCCTGAGGCTGGATTGGCCAATTAATCCCACCGACCGGCTAAGTTTTTTAATGCGCAGTGACATCAAAAGCGATGACTAGTGATTACGTGGGCTCGCGGTGTTGTTTCGTTGCGCATACTTGCGGAAAGTACCTATTTCGCGACAAACAGGGGGAACAAACGCGTGGGCTGCATGGATCGGTATGAATTCCTTTCATGATATTTTGCATACCTAATATACATACCTAATTTTAAAAGTTTTTATCAAATACTATACAAAATATATATATAAGACAGCTATCAAAGGTTTTGTTGAGGATTCTGGCAGAATAACCTAAAATTTGTTTCTCTGTAAAAACAAAGATTTTTTTTAAATTTATTTCCTTATCACTTACGAACTATATACAACATGTACAATGTTTCACCTGTAAAAACAAAGAAACGACAATTAAAGTTTATTCTTTGTTTCACTATTCTTTATTATTATTTTTCTCTGGTTCGCATACGTGTCTTTCCTTCAGTCTCTGTTTTCTTTATTACTATATATTTCTAGGTCCTATTCGCGCGAAGCGGGGTAGAATCCAAATTAAAGAAATAGTATTTATTAGAAATAATAGTTATTTTATATTATATTATTATAATATTATATTATTATATGTATAAAAATTGTTTATATATACATATAAACATATATACATATATACATATAAACAATTTTTATTTTATTTTTACTGTTTTATTTTTCTGTTTGCTCTAATTGTACACAAACAAACTAAAGCAATTTTTATCTGTAAATCGATTTTAACATACTTTTAATAGAATTTTAGAAGATATATTATAAGATATATAAGTATGTACATATAATCATCTAAATATAAATATGTATATATAATCATCTACATATAAGATTTATATGTAATGTATATAAGATATATATATATATATATATATATATATATATATACATACACTCGCCGTCAAAAAAATAGGGACACTTCTTCAAAACGTCATAACTATGGGAGTTTTCAACCGATTTTCGTGAAACATCGTCAGGAGTAGTTTTGAAGTGTCCTCTAGGTGTGTACATAATTGCATTGGCGACGATTGATGAGAAGGGGTTAATTCACTCCCTTAAAGAAAAAACGTCACTTCTGAAGGTGCCAGCAGTAATAGAAAGGGTTAAAAAAATTAAAAAAAACTTTAGGGCGACTCTCTTTGATGGCTTCTACAAAATCCACCCCGTAAAATCCACAATTTTTGAACAACAGACTCGATTTTGGACTCAATGCATTCTCTGGACACCCCTGATCCAGAAACTGCCATCACACATACCGTGCATCCCATAGGCACCCCTTGGGAGGGTGGAACAGCTCTCAAATTTTCAACCCCCTTCGTAAGGGAGCACTTCCACACATCGGAGGGCGATGAAATTCACCATGTTTGTTCTTAATATGTTAAAGATGAATGCCGAAAAACTGCCCCCAACTGAAGGGGGGGGGGGCAGAGATAAGGGTGGTCCACCCCCAAGTGTAAGAGTTAGAACGTTGTCACGTTGCGTGGATTACATGTTCAACAGTCTAGGGCATCGGGCTGACACAGTTTTGATGTCTCTTTCCCGCGTAAATGGCAATAAAATTCGAAAATATCGAGTTTTTTAAAAGCTCGCTTCCAACATCCGCCTCATCTGTGGGGTAAACAAGTAACCCCACGTCAACGCCGTTCGTGGATTTGGACGCGCGAATGCTTTATTAACAGATCCCCAAAAAATCAGATTTTTTTAATCACACTTTCGTTGTCAAATGGGGGCAGATTTGAAAGAGCAGCAAGTGGGCCGGACGAAATCAGCGTTCAAGAATATGGGTAGAATGATTATTAATTGTTTTGTTTTTAAAGTTTACGGAATTATCATTTGTTTTTTCTTCAAAATTTAATAAGATATTACAAAAATTAAAGTTTTTGTCGTTTATTTTTGCAAAATGTCTTTTTTTTTATTGATGAAATTACAAAAATCAAGTGTTCAATATAGTACACGGTAGATTTCACGAGGATCTGGAATTAGCAAAACAAGTGTTATTAACAGATTAACAGATCCCCAAAAAATCAGGTTTTTTTTAATCACGCTTTCGTTGTCAAATCGGAGCAGATTTGAAAAAGTAGTAAGTGAGCCGGCATTCAGAAGCAGAGCGAGGGCCTACACCCGTACGTGGTATTTTGCAAATATCTCGGAAACTGAGGCCGAGCGACCGTTATATGTACAGGAAAAAGTTGTTCAAAATATTGATTTCCTCAATCTATTTAAAAATCATCGAAATCGGTGGGGATGTACCTGTTCTCTATAATTATCGAAATTAATTTTATCACCTCTTACCTTCGTTTATTAGACGGCGGTGTAAGATTTTCGTCTGAAAGTTCATGAAGAACTTGGAAATGTTGGCTCAATGAGCCTGTAGAACCTCCACAGTAAGAAAATTCGTTGTTTGTATTTTCACCACAAAGATCACAATATGCCTTATCACCTTCTCTATGACTATATTGCCACACCCAACTTTTGCGGTTCATATTTCTTTCGGAACGAAGTGTGCAACGATTCGAAATTGCGTCGCTTGCATACAGCGACGTTCGACAGTGTGTCGCGTTTCTTAACGCTACATTCGAACGTGTGTCTTAACGGTTCGAACGTTGAAATCAACAACTTGTTATATATCGTACCGATATATAAAATATATATCGTACTGATCGTTCGTCGCACGTTGCCGTTTCGAAGGGTTTAGTCGGTTACTGTTAGCCATCGAATTCACTTGTCTCATTGTATCGCGACTTTCGACTCATTATTTACTGTTACGTATTTTCACGCTTCCGCGAAAATCAGTGCGGTGTTGTCGCCTGTTTTCTACTCGCTTAGCAAACAATTCGTCCATAACGCACAAAATTTATATCAATTTTCGTAACGCGGACGTGATAAATACCGCTCGCTTTGTGTTCTCGTGCTGTGTGCACGAGTAAACAGTCTCTTTGTTGAAGCGCAATACGTGGGACGTGTCGCCATCTCTTGTGCGAGCATGGGCCGCGAGGTTGCCCTCTCTTTGGCGGGCCGTTCCAGGGCTCCTTTGTTTTTAAATTTCCGCAGTACGCTCGTTAATACGTTATCTGTAAACTCGCTAATGTACACTTAACCTGCTAATAGGTTATGGGCCCAGGCATTATGAAAGCGTAGAGTAAACTTGTGAAACGGGAAGTTCGGAAGTAAAAATGGCATCGAGCTTCGCGAGAATCGAGACTCTTGACAAAGAGAACTACGATACCTGAAAAATGCAAATGGAAGCATTGCTAGAAGAACGACGCGTGGTCCTATGTAAACGGCTTTCCATGAAGCCGGAACCACTGGAAAATGCTGCAAATGCGAAGTAAATAGCGACATGGGTGAAAGGTGACAGAAAGGCGAAGTCGGATATAATTTTCTCAATAAGCCCGTCCGAATTGAATCAAGTGAAGGATGCGAAACATCACGTGCAGTTTGGCTGTAGCTGGAAGGCATTTATCAGTGAAAAGAACCGGCAAGAAAAGCGACGCTACTCAAGCAACTCATTCTACAGCGGTTGGAAGATGGTGGCGATGTTCGGAAGCACGTGAGAAAATTTTTCGATGCGATAGATAAGTTAAAAGAGATGGAGGTAAATATAAATCCAGATCTTCTCGCGATCATGTTACTATATAGTTTACTGCCGAAATACAAAAATTTTCGCTGTGCGATAGAATCACGCGATGAACTGCCGAACCCAGAAACGCTACATATCAAAATCATTGAAGAAAATGACTTGCGGAAAAATGATATGTCGAGTACGTTGCAAGACGCAATGTTCGTTAAAAAAAAGTGGAAAGAAACGATGGCAGTCGAACAAAAGTACAAACGAAAATTCAGTGTCGAAAAACGAATTTAAGTATAAATGCCATAAGTGTCATAAATATGCCGGACATACGGCAAAAGATTGTCCCGTCGGGAGCGAAAAGCAGAAGAACGCGAAGGCCTCCGAAGACGTTAGCCTTTACGATCGCTAATGTACACTTAACCTGCTAATACTTTTCGACCTCCAGCACTTTTGAATTTGTTCAACTGACCAAGAAACTGCCGACTTCCATCTTTTCCTTGGCGACCGATACTTTTGTATAAGGGTGTACCAGCCCTCGAACAATATTCACTGATCCAAAGCTGTTCCGTGGAGAATATGACGACTCGAAGTAAACGAAAACGGCGTGACAAGAACAGAGGAATATGACAGACTGAACGGAATGTCACGGTTTGCAAGGGACTTCTGACCTTATAATATTACGAAGATAAAGGTTTCGTGCTGGGACTTAAGGCTACTCATGCGATCGAATAAATATACAAGTTTAAAGTTAATAAATGGCAGGAAACTATAAATTTATTAATTGCACGTGTACACGTGTAATAAACACACGTGTCTTTTGATATCCGTATCTCGTAAACGTTTAAATCGGATACACGTGACACGTGTACCTGTGTATCGCATTATACGTGCTTTAAGCGAAGGCTCTAATTTAAATGAGAAATCCCGGATACTTTTTGACAGTGCCGTAATGAGGATACGAAGCGCCTGTGGCAAGCATCTAACTTGCGCCTCCCCGTAACCACATGGTGACAAATAAAATGTTAACATGCTATATTTTACTAAATGCAATATATTAAATACTATTGATCTCATAAAAATGACTTGGCTTTACATACAATAATGTATATTGCCAAGGTATTTGTATGAATAAATAATCTATATTCTAAATAAGAAAAAATTTCTATTCGTATTCAGTAATGACAAAATAAAAGAAATATAAAACATTTGGCATTACCGACCAAGAGTGACAAGAAGTATCATATACTTTGAATGATACGGGGAAAATGTTCAAAAAATCCCGGTCATTATGCGTTCCCCTTACCCCGATCGACCGGACATAGCCAACGAACCGCTCGTTGTTCAGGAGCGTATTACTCGTAATCGTATCGATAATATGTACGTGTTTGTGTCTAATTGGTCAGGAGACGAAAAACGGCAAGTGCCAGTCGGTGCTGATTCATGTAGAGTAGAATGATCAAGTAAAATGAAAGCCACGTGCAATTTTCAACCGAGTCGGTATCCTTTCTTTTGCGCTCGTGGCAGACGTCTTCTTCGCCACGCCCTTGTTACGGTACTGCTTTTTTATCACAAGGTATGCACATACACTATTAGCGGTTTGTGGGAATTTAAGGGACATCATTCTTTGTTTTAGGTTAAAATACAAGATTTTTTTTTCGTTATTCTACTGGAATATTCGAAAAAGAAATAACAACCAATGAAAAAAAATAGTGAATCTAATGAAACGAATGAACTTTTAAAAAAAAATGAACTATCCAAACGTTTCAAAAATTGTTCGAAGAACCTCAGTACATAAATTTCAGACTTCTGAATTACTCACGCTGTAAATGTCGAGGTGTGGTTGCCAACGAACTTTCGAAGAATGTCATAGGAAAATATTTTTATGTTTATTTTCCGAGACGCAACTCATCGCACCCCTGTTTGGCGAGCATAACAGTTCAAGCCACTGTATTTACCGAAACAATTTCGTAATCAACAGAGCGCGTTGTAAACAGGGAGAAAATAAATTATTCGAGACGCAATTGAGCCGCAAACGCAAACGTTCCGACGACGAGATATACGAGGCGCATAAATATTTGAGAACAATCGCAAACTACGATCGTTATCCTCTATTCGCACTTCATATAACGCGAGCGTTAATTCCTAAGCCGCAGCAAAGCAGGGCGACTTCAAACGCATCTCCTATTATAATTGAATTATTTATTTCTTAAACTACGTATACATTATTATTTACTGTTCATTATTGCTTGCATCATAACTGTAAACATTATTACAGTGAAACAGCAGTTAGTACCAATCTTTGTGTATAAAAAATGAAATGTATCTATCTTATTTTTAAATGTATTTTCCATTTTATACATATAAACCATGATATTTTTAAAGTCGAGTAATTTCTATTACCACTACTCTGTATATTTTCCTATTTTATTATTTTTAAATTTTATAAATATATGTAACGTAGTCTTTAGTCTTAATTCTATGAAAATCCCTTTTTTGGGGAATACTCACGATAACACTAGTTTACAGCCAAAATGTACATTTAATACTACTATTTTTTTCTGATATATATTGGCCTGCTAAATTCGAAATTTTTTCTATAGGTAGGTTTTCGAGATATGAATTTTTGAATTTTTTTCGATTTTTGTCTGAGATAGCTTCACATTTTAGGCCATATCTCGAGTTAGAAACGCCCGATTGGATCACGCAAACCACCATATTAAAGGTAATCGAATTTTCAACACTTGTTTTCTAATCGGTTCAATAGTTTAAGTGTTATAGGTCAAAATATATGAGAAATTTCGATTTTTTTGGTTAAAATCCCTTTCTTCAGTCCCAATAAATTATTTTTTCAAATTTAGACTTTTGTATCGATCCTCCATATCATTTATCGGTACACTGAGGTAGATTTTCATTGACTCTAAAAATGAAAATTCTATGGATATATGTTCAAAAATAATTATTATTCAGCTCGCACTTAGGCTCTACACACGGCTGGAAGAGGCTTGAGGTGTCAAAAAACCAGTTTTTCTCTCAATTGGAGAGGCTCAGGAGTGTCACCAAAAAATATATCAAACCCGATGTCAAGCTAATTTTAAAGTGACAAGTCGACTTTTGTTGAGAAGTACAAGTACAAGTTGAGGAGTACAATTTTGTTTGACAATACTGTAATATGTGTGAATGTATGTCAGTGTGCGTGTGTGTGTGATCTACTGCGTGGAGCTATCGATCGGCGAGCGTGATCACGTTTTGTTTTAAACTGTGCCGGCCGATTGTTAAGACGACCGAACGAAAAGGCAAAAGGTACATTACTACGCGGGGCTTAGTTTTGAAGTTAGTCGTCGATGAGATTTCCGAGAGGCAAGTTGTAGCGAGCGTTTTGAGTGCATAATCAGTTGTGTGTTCTTTTTTTTTCATTAAAATACTATTAATCCTAATATTTCGATAAACTTTATCGTCCTTTTCCTACAATACCATTCAAGAGCTGAGATTTCGAGGAAGTTTTTCCGGAGGAGTGCCCGCCAAACAACTATATATTTGAAACCGTAAAACGGATAGAAAAAAAGTCAAATTTTTTTTAAATTGTCACAATGTAAAGTTTGACCTAATTTTTTACTTGTTAAATCTACATAAGAAATTTCAGTTTTGCATCAGGGAGATGGGAAATTTAACGCTCTTTCGAATGGTTATACGTAGACACCCTGTATACAGCGAAATAATAATATTATAATTATATAAACATCCAAACAGTCTTGATCCTCTTTATTATTTAAACAGCTAACATAACAATATCAAAACCAATCTCACAACCTTTCTTCCCACGCTTCACCATTAGTTGAAATAATCAAGTTTTTATATACCGTACCATAAAAATTGTAAAATTACCTGGAACCTATATATAAACAGTCACGAGCTCATTTATAATTCAGACAATTAGCATAAAAATACCAAGAACGATCCTACAACCCCTATTTGAATCCTTCGATTCACTGTTACTAAGAACAACCAAGATACCACCATGCTATACAAATTTTAACTCTACTCGCAATATCCCAATTAGACCAAATTGCCAAACTTTTACCATACCTAAAAATTCAGAAACCAGTCTCGATCCACTGCTCACAAGAACCCTTGTCTGATGCTTCCAGACTGGGAGTAGTGGTGCACCGCGGAAGTGCAAACAATGGATATGAGAAGAGCAGAGGCAAAGTAGCAGGCTGCAGGTAGAGGAACAGCGAGGGCGAACAAGAAGAAAGAAACGACTCGACTAAAGGAGACCGACACAGGGGACGGTGCGAAGGGAGAAGACGAATTAGCCAAAGTCTGATAGAGAATCGTTCGTGGGGAGGGGGGGAGGGGGGTAACCAAAGAAAGTCAGACAAGTCGAAGAGGGCTAACGAAAAGATGAAGGAGAACGGCTTGTGGACGTTGGTTTGGGCGGTGTGTGTGATAATAGGCCTGAGCATGGGGCAAACATTACAATCTTGTCCCTCCCACCATGACATCGCACCCTGCTTCTGCAGCCTCAAGAAATCCGGCTTGGATATCGTGTGCGAGTTCACGGACATGGCGCGTATCTCCAAGGTCATGAGCACGCTCAAGAGCAAGTTGAACACAGTCATCTTTTACCTGAGGCTGAGGCACAACAACTTGCCGAAATTGCAGCGATACGTGTTCCTCGGCCTCGACATACGCCACCTAACCATCCACAACAGCAGCCTCGCGGTCCTCGAGGAATCCTCCCTCAGCTCTATCGGTGAGTGCTTCTAGTTTAGTCTTATTGTTAGGTGGAGTATTTCCGTTATTGTAATATGTAATGTATGGTACATTCGAGTATGATTTTATAAGAATAACTCCTTACAAGATCATCTCAAGATCGACATATAATGTTATACAAGTGATAACATCACTTGAAGGTCAACTTATAATATTACAATTCTTACAAGGTCATCTGAAGATCAACATATACTATTATACACGTTTTACATTTTATGCATGTTCTATCTTTATCAGCAACAATATTACAATAAAAAAATACACTATTCTATTTAAAAAAACGTCAATAACCTTGAAATCTCGAAAAATATAACCCTGAGATAATGTTTCTGTCTGTCAAATTACAGTGGGTGTAGAATGTATTCGTACACCGATCAATTTCCCATAAAACTTTCGCGTGAAATTGTAGTTTCTTAACTTCTTTTTTTATAATCAATAATATTTTACATATTCTCGGAAGTCTCTAAGATAGATATAGTCCAAACAACATTTACTAGTTAATATAAATTGTGAAATTAACAACAAAGGTGGGTAAAAGTATAGAAACAATAAGTATTTGAATGATTCTTATAACGAACCATTTACAGTAGAGTTTGTAACGTAAACACATTAGTTCATTGCTCCGTACGAATTAGAAAACATCAAATTTCCAGAAAAGTACTTTTAAAAAAGGTTCTAATAAAGGAATGGAAAAAGATCCCACTTCGAAAAACTAATAATTTACTTAATCTAATGCTTAAAAAAGTTACAATAATTATAAAATCAAAACGAAATCCCACGAAGGAAGTACTATGTACTTGTAAATTAACGTAAATTTCTTTTTTTTTTTTACGAAGTTTATAACTTAAACAGTTGTACGAATACTTATTGCTTCAACATTTCTATTGATTAATTGTTTTTTTCTTGTTAATTTCGCAACTTATGTAAGTAGGTATTTTTTTTGTACTCTATCTATTCTAGAGATTTTTGTGAATATGTAGAATGTCATTGTTTATAAAAAATAAGTTAATAAATTAGAATTTTACACAGTTTTTTTGGGGAAATTGATCGGTGTACGAATACTTTCTACACCCACTGTATGTCCCCCAACAAACTAAACATTTTCCTCTTGTACGTTGGTTATGTATGGTTTTATAAGAACAACTCCTCACAAAGTCATCTAAAGGTCAATATAATATACATATCTGAATTTGTCTTGTTATCAATATTACAATAATGAAAATACCTCATTGCCAATGCCAATGACCTTGAAATTTTTTAAAGTATGACCTTTATACTGCAACATAAGGGTCCCATATTTTTTGCAACACCCTGTATACATTTCAAAAATAATTCCATAACAATATGATTTTTTATGGGAATTTTTCTGGACTATTGTACCTTTACAAAATTTACTGTTAGAAATCCATTATTCCGTTCAAACGGAGAACAAATGTACAAAGGAATACCCGTTTCTCGATATTGCGATAACTGATGGTAGTATTAATTTAATGTACATCGAAGACTCAAAATCCCTCTCGAGGATACTTAACAATGGTACTTCCACCGAGGGAAAGAATGATTAAAGACATTGGGGAAGTTTAAATAAGCAGAGGGAATGGAACAAAAATCCCTGGAGGGATCAAAAGTGCGATTAAATTAAAATGAATCCTGATCAACGTCGGTACCCGTCTCGTGCTTCTACCTTCCATAGTTAATCAGCAATTCCCAACTGCACCATCGCCCAGTCACAAATTAGAAATAGAGACGAGGACCTTCTCTGTAGTGTTTACTGAGAAGTAGAAACGAGATGTTCGTGATTCAAGTTGTAGTATAATTAATTATCGCTAATAGGGTGGTTATGAAGGAAGCTATCCGAGACTGGTGTATAGCGGATACTGATTGAAATGCAACTATCGAAGATTGAAACGTGACTGGAAGTGGTTTGAACGTAGATGAGGATTTGAGACGAGATACAATTAACGATTGTGCTCGAGACGCTAGTCTCGAGAATACTCCAATTTTTTTCGTGAAATTCCTGTTCTTCTTTATATTCAAATATGTATTTTGGGATTCCGAAATGATTAAAAAAAACTCTTTCCCTAGACTGCAAATTTGATGCACTAATTACATTCGATATTTAATATAAAAATTTTACATACAATATACATAATGTATGTTGAATATATTCTGCAATTATCATTATAATAACACGTTTATCACTTTGCATAAGTGCACATAACTTTTGATCATGTTTAGCATGTATTTATTATATTAGTTTATACCATAAGTGCATAAAATCCGCAGTCTAGTTATCACTCTTTATTCTTCGTGAAATCAAACAACTTCTGCCTTCATTATTTTCGTTTTAAAATAAAGGAGTTGCCCCAGGTGGTCTGTTCGAAATTTTACAGTATTTTTTCGAAAATTCTCGAAGCAAAATTTTCTATAAGGAGTTTTCTTTTGTTTCTTGTGTGGTTTGGAAAGAATATGAAATTAGCAAATTATATAAAGTAGTGTAACGGTTGTTTCGGATTTCAAGTAGTCATTTCTTATTTTCTTCCAATGAAAATTCACCGAAGAATAATATCATGGAGACTATTGTTCATTCACAGGAACTGGCTTGACGCAGCTGGATCTGTCGCAAAATGCTTTGCTCACGGTGCCGTCGGTTGCGTTACGGGATCTTCACCACGTGTTGATTCTGAATCTGAACCGCAACAAGATCAATGCCATTCACGGGGAGGCTTTCGAGGGACTCGACACTCTTGAAATCCTTTCCCTGTACGAAAACAAGATTTCCACCATAGAAGAGGACGCCTTTAAAGGACTGCACAAGTACGTTTTCCGATATCGCAACACTGCATCCGTTTGATAATTGCTTGACATTAACAAACTAAACTTCGCTTATTGCGCAAGAATTCTCCCCCTTACGAAATAATTATTAACCCCGCAAATGTAGACCTTTAGCTGGCGAGATATTAAGGTACACAGTAACAATTGTGTACACCTTCACTCATAGATATGTGGACCACATTCAATAAATAGTAGATTATCATTTTTAAATTGCTTGTTCCTTAATTCTATTTGTGATATAGAAGTTTTGAGTGACATACTAAATCTCGTAGAGAAACTATTCGCATGTGAATAGTCGCAACGTAGCAATCAGTAGCGATCGAACTAATAGAACGCGCAACGCGTCGTATCTAGGAATGGCGTGAAAAATCACTAATAATAATTTTTCACGGTGATCACACAATAACGATCGCAATCGTTATTAAACTTCGATCACGACCGTGATCCGGAAGATGGCGTTTCAGAAACAGTTCATGTTAAGGGTGCGCAGGAGCCAGAGCCAAACTTCGAGTTGACTTCAGAGACAGTTGCGGAAAAAGTAGGAAACTCCGGGACAAGGACAGAGAGGGCGATACAACAATTCCAAGTGAAACGAGGACAGGGCAATTAGGCTAGCATGATTTTTTTCCAAGATATTGGAGCAAAGAAGCAATATTTTCTAATAATTCTGGTTTTAATATGTTCGTTATACTTTGGCGGATGCGACTCCAAGGCCTGATTTTGCAATTTCGGCCTTAAAACTTTATAAACAATAAAAGTACATTTGCTATCTTCATTTTATACTAAAATTTACTAAAGCTTTTTTACTCAGTACAGTGTGCCCTATACACCATATAAATATTGAATGCTTTTTTTTGAACACCCTGTATAACCTAAGAACAACATAATTCATGAAAAGTGAAAAGAATGTTCTCTACGAATTAGAAGCAATCACGAAGAATCACGAATCACTGTGAAAAATCATCGTGAATGAGAATGAATGTGATTGAATCACGAGTGATTCAAAAGTAGCAGTTCACGCCATCTCTAGTCGCATCGTGTCGACGTAATAAAAACAAAGGCGCATCGGCATTTTCGATCTATCGTCAAGATGGCCGAAAGAAACTGTGGGATTATTTAGATACAAAAGTTCGGAAGAAATGATCAACATATGAAAAATATTTATAGGAAAATGTTACAAAATAAATAGAATAATATTAATTCGGATGTAATAAAGAAATTAATAACTAGAGTGTCGAGATTGATGAAAGAAGATTGAAGATTTTAGAAAAAAAATTGAATTGTTCTCTATTATTACTGGTGGACATTAAATAATCTATTGACAAAATGTATTCTCTAATGTAACACAAAGTAAATAAAGAAACATAATTCACTGATTCGTAACTTTTTATAGATACTTATTCCAAATCAGGAAGTGTCTACATATTTATGAACGAGGGTGTATATGATATTTAAATGTAAAATACATTTTCATTTGAGAACTTAGTTACTTACTTCTTCAGCTTTCGACTTGACACACTGACTGGAAAACGTTGTCTGTCTTATGAGAAATTGAAAAATTAGTAATCAACTTTAGTTTGCTCTGTCGTTTTGACAGTAACTGATTACTTATCAATCTAAAAAGCTTTTAGATTATCCTTAAAACCCACAAATACGACGATTAAATGTAGAATTAAATTCTGACAAAGTTTTCGAGACTTAAATAGACATTTCAATCCAAAGTGAAGCTCAATTTTACAGTACAAGTATTAAATTTAATGCAAACCTTTCTTATTGAGATATATTTTATTATTGGTCCTTATTTTAACCCCTACAAGCTCCTTTATTAATATTAAATATAATATCTTACAGTGTAAACAATTTTATTCATTATCCATCGACTAGTCCAACCAGATATACTACGTTAAAATAAACAAAAAGAAAAATATTACGAGACATCATGATGCACGATACTAATATCACAAATCCTTCACACGCATAGTAAATCTGCGAGACTTTAACCTGCATATAAAATGCGTGCGCTAGAATAGAACCGTCACATGCTATGCATGAAGAGGTAGATTAGTACTAACTGCATGCAAATATTAAAATGTACATTATAGTAGAAAACTGAAGAGATTGAACCTGGGAGGAAACGAATTGCCCAAAGTACCGACGAAAGCGTTGATTTCACTGGATGTGCTGAAGAAATTGGAGATGCAGGAGAACCGAATCACTGGAATTCAAGAGGGTGATTTTGAAGGTACGTTTGCATTTATTAAACAACATTACAATATATATTTTTTACTGTAAAAGAACCATAATAATCCTGCAATTAGTGATTGCACGCATTTTCATTTGACATCTCGAACTCTTGATTCTTTTTTCTCTTCGACGGGTACAACAAAGTTGTCATAGACAAAATTTAAGAATTTTGTTCGAAACTTAAGTATATATTTTAATATAAAACGAAGCGTATATTTACAATAAAAGGATTTCATTCAATATATAAATTCTTTGGCAAGATATATTTTGAAATTGTCAAGATACGGCAAATCTCCAAGAGCATTTCTTTTCTCTTTTTTTTGTTATACAGACACAATAACTTGAGAACGTCACGTTCAAAACATACCAAATAAAGTATTCTGTTGACTGTAAAATTACACTTTTTTTTTTAATTAAAATATGCATTTAAATCTTAAAAACAAATTCTTGAACTTTTGCTATGCCCTCTTGATAACATATAGAAAATCTAACTAACAAGGAAACACTGGTGAGTGTTACACCTTGATTATGATAAAACTTTGTACACTTCTTTGTGGGACCTTCCTATGAATTACACTATCTTCAGTTCATGGCACTTTTGCGTTTCAAGCGGGAAACTATCCCTTTTGCCCGAATCGCTTTTTTTACTTGTGCACTTATAACTCGGAAATGATAAGAGATATGGACACAATTTTAAATACAAAATTTAATGGTTTTTAACATTCTACAACACTGTAGTAAAAAATATAAAAAAATTATTTTTAATAATAATTCCCCCACCATAAATCTCTTCGTTATCCGTTATATACAAATTGTGCTCGCAATTTTGTGGACGTTCTCATACTAAACAATTTTCGTCTAACCAATTTTGTTCTATCTGTTAAATTCGAGTTACTGTGCAATATAGATACGTACGTATACTACAGATAACGTTGTCTGTAGTCTGTGCCGGATGACTAAAAACGATCAAAATTCTCGACGAAAATCTGAAAAAATCATGACTCTCGGTTGAGTAAACAGATTTCAATTATTGAATCGGAAAAATGTGTACTTAGATGAAGAGTTGTTAAAAAATATAAAACAATCGATTCTATTTTTTAATTCTTTTTGACGAAAAAATATGTGAAAAGTTGCCAAATCTTAACAAATTCGTAACTCTCTTAATAATGAACATTTTGGATTCAAACTGTTTTTCGTAGAAAAAAGTTTTTTTCTAAACTGAAAATCCAATTTTTTAAACATTGATAGAAAGTTTTGTTTAATATTTCGCAACAGTTGCCTATCGATTTTAGTCAAAATCTAAAGTTGCCTATATAAATTATTTTTCACATCCTCGGTCAAAATGAAGCGTATTTTGTCAAATAACATATAGATTATAACAAATTTTGTTTAAAATACTTTTATTAATAACGGAAATAAAGAAAATTAAAATAAGTGTTCAAAGTCAAAAATCGCTGATTATTAATTTAATCATGTGTGCTTGCGTTTGTGCATATGTGTATATGTAGATATGTAGAGTATATTCATATACTGTGTGTAAATATCCGCCAAAGTATCGAAACTAATGAATTTTATCACAAACGTTACTTTTTCCGTTGCAATATCGTCTATTACAGCGACAATTTTACAATAGTACATCATTTCCCACTATGATAATTATAAACTAATACACACCGTTGAATTCAGAATAAAAAAGTGCTTTGATTGATTTAGAAATAAATTCAAATTTTTTAAAATTTCAAGGAGGGGCGTAATTTCTTAAAAAAAAATTTTTTTTTTATTTTTTTGGTACCGTTTTATAGGTTTCTAAAACAGTGCAATGTTTATTTAAACATTTGTTCGATATTTGTTATCATTTTCGAGTTACAAGCGCATAAGTAAACGGGGCGGCTCGGACAAAAGGGGTAGTTTTTCCTTTGAAACGCAAAAGTGCCATGAACTGAAGATGGTGTAATTCATAGGAAGGTTCCACAAACAAGTGTACATATAAAGTTTCATCAAAATCGAAGTGTAACACTCACCGGTGTTTTCTTGTAAGTAATTTTGAACAGTTCCTAAGTAAACGATTAGAAATACAAATTAGGCTCCCTGTAGCTCACATATTCAACTAAATGTTGTAGCAAAATTTTGTGGACCTGATAAATTTGAAAATCAACTATTAATCAATCATGCATGAAAGTAAATGCTCTTATGCGAATGGTTAGTTTTCCATTAAGTGGATCAACATCGATTGAGCTCGTCGAGTAGTATAAACTGTCTGTCTTTTTAGGATTGAGAAACCTGGATTCATTAGTTCTGGCTCACAATCAGTTGCGCGAAGTCCCGGCTCGTGTGTTCTCACACTTGACGCAATTAAACTCTTTGGAGCTTGAAGGAAATCAGATTACCCACGTGGATCCCGATGCGTTCATTGGGCTCGAGGGTAAGTGTAGTTGCGATTTGATATGATTCCTTTGAAACGTCGACGCACCATCGCGGTTAAGTGGCATTTCTGTTATCAGGAGACTGCGAATCTTTCGGCAAAATGTAATCTTAATACTTTTCAAATGTTATCATATCAACTTCTTGCATATTCAAATTTTGTATAAATGCTTAAAAATCAGTAGTCTATTTAACAGTATGCATTCAACAATTCCCAAATTTTTTCGAATCGAATTAAAGGGTAGGATTTCCATTTTTTGACCAATTTCGAGGCAATATTCATGATTTTTTTGTATTTACAGTATTTGATATAAATTTTTGAAAGTTCGTACATTTTTTTGTACATATATGCAAGATTTCTTAAAATTTTCAACCGGGCTTCTCAATTTGCTTACGAGTTACCTTATAATATTCTACACCTTGTCAAGCAGAACATGCTGAATATGAATATAACTGGCAATTTAAGTAACAAGAGTATAAAAAAAATCTATTTTCCTTTACCCGCAATAAATGAAAACCCCCTTAAAATTTCATGTTCAGTTTGACAGAATGGCTCGCGACTTAAACGGTTACTGACTTCATACACCACTCCAACAACTAATCACATCTTTAAATATGTTAACAAATGTTATGTATGTTAACAAATATGTGAGACATTTTTTCAGGATCAAGTCTTTATACCAGTACGAATCGAAAAGTCCTGAACAATTTTGCAATCTGAAGCTTTGTTGTTGAGATATAAGCGGTTGAAATTTACAGACGCGGTCGCATATAGACGGCACTCGCACGCGAGAAAGATGCACCTACGCACACTCACAATCAACTGCGAATCAGCTGGTCGGCGGAATGATGCTAGCGAGTGTATATCGGTGCGTCTTTCTCGTGTGTGAGTGCCGTCCATGTGCGGCCGCGTCTGAAAGTTACAACTGTAAATTTCAATCACTTATATCTCAACAACGAAGCCTCAGATTGCAAAATGGTTAAGGACTTTCGATTCGTACAGGTATGTAAACTTGATCCTGAAAAAATGTCCCACATATTTATTAACACCCTGTATAATTGATAAACAACATTTTAGAAACCTTAAGCAACAGGAATATCATAAAAGAAAAATCTATTTTTATCCCCCTACTCCAAAGGAAAGTGATCTTAATCGAAGTGTCGAATTACGAAGTGATCCTAAAAGAAGCTAAGAATAATTCTATACGAAACAGAGAGACTGACTATTAAATTGCTTCGGATTGAAAATTGGCTTTTCAATAATCGATATTCCACAGTGATTGATTTCTATTTTCGTCTACTCTCTAATTAATGTCTTCACGCTACTCGGCATTCTAGCAAAACCATCGCTACCATCACACGTATTACATTTTAATTCCGTTACAGAAAATCTACAATATTTGCGGCTTGGCGATAATAATTTACATTCGGTGCCGAGCGATGCATTGCGCCGTCTACATCGACTACGTCACCTCGATTTAAGAGCCAATAACATTTCCGTACTCCCGGAGGACGCCTTCACCGGATATGGAGATTCGATTACATTTCTGAACCTCCAGAAAAACTTGTAATTTCTTTCAAATTACATTGACCACACGGCAATAAACGGTTGCCCTGAGCCTATTTGTCGATAATTATAAAATCGCTTACTCTCCACAGGATAAAGGTGTTGCCGCCGTTGGTCTTTGAAAATCTCAACTCCTTGGAAACGCTACTTCTGCAGAACAACAAGTTGTCCCACATACCGGAAGAAGTGATTGAGAATATTGTCGACACACTTCGAGACCTCGATATCACGGGTAAATATCGAAGAATTTTTATTTACCCCCCAATTTTTTCGATGGTTCATTTGCAAACGATAATACGAAAAATAAACGTGCCTTTTACGACTGAAGCACTGCTAGAAAATTACCACATTTGTTAACAATCGTTTGAATTGAAAAAAAGAGAATAATCTTATACACTGGAATATTAAAGCAGTCTCACAATATTTTGATCCTGAGGGACACATTCATGTACAGTTTTTAAATCTCTATTAAATAATTATTGAACTACATTTTCGAAGATTGGTATCACTAGGTTTTCTGGCTTGGTTTTTAAGTGCATAACTGTCATTTTAATTACTGCATTGGATCCATACATCACAACACAATCATTTCTATTTTTTTCTTGACATTACTTTGTCTCACATAACTCCTTAATTTTGGCTTAGCTCGTGTTATCGTAACTCTGTACATTACATTTACGTCAGTCTTGTCTTTTGTACACGTCTGTTGGGCCCACAGGCCCTTATCTAGCTAGGGTACTCTAGTGTTGCTAAATCCGTACTGTAACTGGATTTTCGTATGCTACAGCCCCTGAGGGTAGACTATTACCATACCTAAATCATAAAAAACGAGTACACAGTAATAAAATGAAAGATTTCTGAAACATTATTTCTGTTAACTTTCCATTTAAGTATAGGATTCTAATCGAATAACGAAAACCTGCAATTAATGTCGTCACGGGAAATACCAAACTATATCACAAATGGAAGTAGGTAACTATTCACAAATACTTTGACGATAAATATACATTTAAACAACTCCATAATTAGAGCTATAACGAAACCTGTAATTAAAGTCGTCGTAGGAACCAAATTATACTACAAGTTAGAATAAGTAACTGTGACAAATGCTTTTATGATAAATACACAATTAAATAATTTAATAATTAGAGCTGTACCAAAACCTGCTGCATAAATAACAAACATACAATAATAACTCAAGATAAGTTTGATAATATAATTTAAAAAATGTTTACTACTTATATTGTAGATAACAAAACTTTCCCACAGCTACTCTAATTTAAAAGATATTGTCATTACGAGAAACAATTGGACTTGGATAAATGAAAAATAGGAGTAGATTATTTCACCATCAAACAACTAAATCTTTTTTCAACGCATCACGTCGCGTCGATTGCCGTGTTAACTCATATATGGCTCCATATACAAGGTGACTCAGAATTAGTGTAAGAACCGGAAATGGAGAGTAGCTGAGACGATTCTGAACCACAATTTCCTTTGCAAAAATGTCGGATGGTGCTTCGTTTTTGAATTATTATTGAAAATCACCGACCAATAACAACGTCCGAGTAGCTCACCGCGAGAACATACTCTATAATATACAAAATCGATTTTCTCGAGAACGAAACCTCAAATGAAAAAATTTTATTCTTTATTTTCGATTTGTTTTTTTATGTAGAATCACCCCCACTACGATTATACCACCGATGTTGAGACACCCTGTATAATGAAACATTTATTGTAGTATTTATATTTGTAACTCCATCGAAGTCCGAGTATTTCGTTAAAATTCATTTTCATAGTTAACTTTCAGAATTAATTTTCTTACACAGTTGCATGCAAAAGTTTCCGGCCAAAAATAATTTTGGAATTGAATTATGTATAATAAGTGTAAAATAGAAATACAAATATATCATAATAAAGAGCTTTTATTATACTATCGAAATGTACAACTTAAAAATTTGATACAACAAGTAATAATTATTTATAACAAAAATAATAATTTTTACTTCTTCATAATTATCCGGCCAAGTACAAAACATGAAGAAAAAACACGATAACTGAAGAAAAAATGTTCAAAAATGGTTACAAATGTAACATTATCGTCAATATTTAGTAACCATACCCTGTGAAGCTATCACGGCGGCATATCGGTGAGGCATCGATTCAATACGTTTGATGATTCTATCATGAAAGATATTTCTCCACTCTTCTTGAATTTTTGTCCATAAAGCAGCTTTATTGGTACAATTAACAATTTCTATTCTTAGTTTAAGTTCTTGCCATAAATGTTCTATGGGATTCAAGTCTGGAGATTGACTCGGCCAATCTATAATTCGGATCTTATTCTTCGCGAAAAACTCCTGACGCAACCCAGACCGATGTTGTAACCATTTTTGAACATTTTTTCTTCAATTATCGTGTTTTTTCTTCATGTTTTGTACTTGGCCGGATAATTATGAAGAAGTAAAAATTATTATTTTTGTTATAAATAATTATTACTTGTTGTATCAAATTTTTAAGTTGTGCATTTCTACTTTACACTTATTATACATAATTTAATTCCAAAATTATTTTTGGCCGGAAATTTTTGCATGCAACTGTGTGTGATGTGGCGATCAACATGTTAGAGCTTCAGGTTAGACCCTCTTATGTTAACGAAACGACAACAAACCGTACATTTTTCCCCAGACAATCCCCTCATCTGCGACTGTGAGCTACGATGGTATTCCGTCTGGCTTGGGAACCTACGCGACAAGGACGACGAAATGATGTCGAAAAAGCACACGATATGCGTGATGCAGCACGAGCACCGAGAATACGCTGTGCAGAGCATACCCCTGGAAAGAATGGGCTGCGTGGGGAAAAACGCGGGAAGAACATCCTCATCGACAGCCGATAGTCGCATCTACGTGGACACAATCTTCCAGATACTGGCCATCGCCGTCGCCGTCGCGGTGCTCTAACTGCAACCATTCATCCAATACTCGGCGATCTCGATCACCCCTCGTTTATAAACCCAACAGAGCCCAGATTTTCCTTTTATTTGAATTTACGTGGCCCCCCCCCCCCCCCCACCTGACCAATCCGTCACTGAGGTATCCAACGTTGGGCAACATCTAATCAGTAATTATGATCGATAATTAAATTTGCGGATTTCATGAATTTAATTGAGCAGCGAATGTGAGAAATTCGTGATAAACATAATCAGAAAGTATGTGCGCACTTATGCGAAACGGAAATATTAATATTAATATTATGACAGCACTTTGTGGAGTATATTCTACATTCAGTTAGTTACGTAAGTATTCATTCTGTCTATTGAAAGAAGTATAAATGAAATGATAAGTTCGATGCGTACATTTAAATTTTAGATTATAGATATATACATGTAATTCATGTACATATTTATAATAAAACATCCAACCTATCATTTAACTTTACATTTTACAGATTGTTAGTACCCTACTAATCGTCTTTTTGCCGTGGCAAGCAATACTTTCTTATCTTATAATATTAATGAGATGACATTGGATGCTCCCGTCATTGCATGAATTATGAAATATTATATAAATATTAATTTAAAAACAATTAAACTAACAGATAAAATAAATTATTGAATTTAATTATATGTCCAAACCTTAATGATCAAGGAAGTGCTTATTTAGACAAATTTTGCCAATATACACAAACGGTACGAATATTTATGAGACTGACTGTATATTATAGTTTCTCTATGTTTTTATTATTAGTGGTACGTCATAAATGCATAAAATCCACAGTTTATCGATTAATTCGTTCGTTGCTGGGATAATAAAATATGTTTTCCCCTCCAAAATCGTTGATACCTTTTTAATTGAAATTTCACATGGTTTCTTAAAAAGATTGGGTCTCTAAATCCCACTTAGGAGTAGGTGAGAAACTCAGGGAAAGGTAAATCCTCCGCAACGAACTTAATAACTAGACTGTGGATGTTTATGCAAATTCACACTTTCACAGATTCAGATAAAGAATTCAGATTGAAGTGAAAGTCTTATCTTCCTAAACTGTGTAATATGTATTTTATCACTGATATTTTATATATTCTTGCATTCGTGCATGTCCTCATAAATTTTCTCACATTTTCTCACATTTTCGATTGCTATAAATGCACAAACATCCGCAGTCTAGTGATGACGAACAATCTTAGCCCTCGAAAATTACGAATTACTTATTCACTATTGAGGGTTACAAACGTAGTCCATGATTACTGATCGATCTGACAATTGCGATTGTTGGAGTGATTGCAAATTACTGCCCAACCTTGGAGCAATCGTGCCACGATCGCGGAGACGTGGCACGATTCCCTCAGCGTATATCCTCCCTCGTGGAATCGTTTCCACGATCCCAACGGAAGTATCGACGAGCAAGGAGCTCCCGATACGATTTATCTTGCGATCGAGAGTGGGAAGCCCGGAGTATCGATAGCTGGTCGATTGGTACCGTTCATTTCTAATCGAACGTTCAACTTTTAGGCGAGACTTGCGACTTTTCCTATCGTTATTTCATGTCTGGCTATAGTCCTCGAGAAAGTAGAATTATAAACTGGAAGAATCGAGTGCGACTGTCCCGAGAGAGAAATGAGAATTAAATTTTTACGTCGTCGTGGTAATGTACTCAATCGTTTGGAATCGGAGAGAACTGAAAGTATTTACCGTGGCGTTTTATCGAATACATATCAACAGCTTTTTCTAAAATTTAAGGTAGCAAGCGTAAGCGTCGTTTAACGTAAATACGCCACGAAATGGGGAACGTCAGACATGTCATTTCGCTATAGCTTTAGTTTATTAAAGCCTTTAGATCGCCTGCGTTTCAGTTGTAAAAAGGAAACAAAAATAAGTAAAAAACAAAAAAAAAAACACTAGGAACAAACAATCGACGAGCGTCGATCGTTAAACTCGATCGAGGAATTCACTCGACTAGGAGACGATTCGATGGAGTATGACGCTTGCATCTCAATCGTCACTTTTGATCGATACGGAGACCTCGATCGCGACGCTCGATTTCTTCGATCGAGAGTCATGGATCGAGGTATACCCGAAATAAAAAGGGAGTATCTCGATTGTGAAATGCGATAACAGGGTGAAAATGAGGATCCTCGATTCCATTGTTCGAAGGAGCCTAAGGTCACCGAACGTTACATATCAAGATCGTTGCCAAGTGTTTTCTGGATGTCTGTTAAATTCGCGACGTGGGCGAGAATCGTAGTATATTCGATAGGGAATTCGAATGTCCGCTGTTTAACTATCATTCGATTATACACGGGCATTCGTCTCATACATATCAAAGCGTTCCTGAAACGTTGGAACGAGTAGTCGGCATTTTAATGTTCAACTTCGTGCGTCACAATCTCTCGCGATAACGAAATAGAAATAGGAGTAAGTGCTTTATAATTTCATTTTGTTGCTGAACGATGGGTCATGATTGTAAAATAATACGCTTAGAAGCGACAAATTTTAACAATATACTTGAAAGTATCAAACTTTAACAATATTATTCGTCAAAAAATTCAATAATTTTTTACGATTCTCTTCGTAATTTTGTAAAAACGTTCATTTTTCGAAGTACTTAAAATTTGATCAGACTCTTATCCGCAATTTTGATGACTCGACACTATCTGGGGTGTAATAATTGAATATACAAAAAAGGTAATAAATAAGTAAAATAATCAACGATACAAGCTTAAAAGAAACAAAATATATGATGTTCCTAAACTTATATTTCGTTCCTTTAAAAATGATTCAAGTCAATCGACGTTAAAAATTATGAGGATAATCCAATACCAGATATCGAAAACCACATTTGTACTAATAATTATTTTACTAATTTGGCTGGAAATTAAAAATATTCAGAAATGCGATAGAAACATAGTATTTAATTTTTTGCGTGCTTCTGTTCGATTCTTTCTACATATTACTTTTCGTATTAGTCACACAGAAAAGTACAGTAAAGACGTAGTATTTAATTTTGTCTATACATCAATTCGTTCTTTCTATTACCTTTCTATATTGGTTACACAGAAAAATGTACTAAAAACATATGAGTTTTTTTCAATCAAAGAATCGATCTTCGAGGCTTCCTCCTCGGTGATATCTTAAGATCGTTCCAGATGTTTAACTCGATTCACAAAGGAACCGACCCGGTCGAGATGAAATAACGACTGCTGATGGAACGTAATACACTCAACAGGAAACCGACACTTGTCAATTCCGGTACAGCATGAACGCGATCATTCAAACGGCTCGTTGGCCATCGTTTCGTGGCTCTACTGCTACCTAGATAAAATTACGCCGTCTTTCAGCAACGCCCGCGATCAAACATCAAAAACGGATGTTCTAAGTACGTCGCAGTAACGCTTTCGCAACCACGAACATTTCACTTTAACACCTTCAATTCCCCTTAAGGGAAGACACCACATTGAAAGACCAAATATTAAGTGTTTTTCAGGATTTTTTCTTACAGAAAAGAATTTATTTAACGTTTGTTTAACTTTGAGAATAGTTTAGATATATCTTAAGGTACATTTCGTTATCTTTTCAATTCATTTCACACTGAAATTTTTGAGATATCAGTTGTATAGCAAGCTTTCACCTGAGTTCGCCGTTGGTAAGAATTCTGAATTTTTTTTTACATTATTAACACGTCTTCGAAGAATATGAACTAAATTGCGGTCAAGAAATGTAAAAATTGAATATTTTGAGAGTATTGAAAGTAAAAGACCCAATTTTTACCATTTTTCGTATAGCTTTTTGCAATAAAAAACCTACTTTAAACATCGATATCATTGCAATATTGAATTCAGTCATCTATATAAAGTAAGCGTATATAAAATTTGAAAGCAATCGGCTAATTAGTTCTTGAGTTACACTTCTCACAACTTGAAAAAATTCGCAATTTTTCAAAGATTTTTGTGTGAAATAAATCGAAAAAATTGCCTAATCTACTTCAAAACATACCTAAAACATATTCGATATTAAAATAAAAATTCAATAATTCCTTCTCTGTAAAAAAAAATCACGAGAAACGTTTAATAATTGACCCTATAATTGTGATCCCCCCCCCCCTTAATTATAGATTGTGACGTACGAATGCGTCTGCTCGTGTATGGCAAGTTGCGAAATGTGTTCGAAGTTAACGTTTAGGAACGCTACAACGTCGAGGACTTGTAATATTTTTCGATGAATGTGAAAAATTAATTGTGGGGAGGGAGAGGGCAAACACTGTCATAGGATTGGGGCTAACGGGTCAGTTTTACCGGGGCCTCGGGTTTACACCGAAAAAAACATAGTTAAGAAATTTCGTATACTCTCAATGATATAATTCTCAATTCGGTGATACCAACGTTTCGGTAGAAGGCGCAATATTAATGAATTGTTTGAATTTATTCTGATTTATTATCGAGTATCGAGTATGGAGAGTATCATACTTCAAGCAAGATCTGCTAAATTCATGTCTTAATGATGAGTGCAATTCGAAGATGATAATTCAATTGAGCATGTATATTATAGTACGTGCAATTCGAAGATGATAATTCAATTGAGCATATATATTATAGTACATGCATTGTATATCCATTATAGATAAATTTTTAAATAGATATGAAATAGGTGTATAATATTGCTCCTTGTATCGGAAGTATTCATACAAGGTTGAGGATAGTAATTACCCACAATGAATTTCTGAAATCGATTGTAACAATTACAGAATTGTTAAAGATACGTAATTTTGCGATGGAGAGTTTTCAACATATTTCGTTACTCTTTTATTAGGCTTCTTTATACCCTCAAAAAAACAAAAAAAAGGTTTTCGATCGAGTTACGAGTTACAAGTTACAAAGTAATTTTTTCTTGGAGAACATTGAAACTGATTACGAATACAGATATGCTGAAGTGTCGATACGATGCTGGCAATTTTTTGGAAGTTTACAAAGATCATAGGGCTTTAATAGCAAACAGATAAAAAAGTTAACTATACATAACTGGTTTTAACCAAAAATTTGTTTTCTCGTAGCATAAAAAAGCTTAAATAAAGATTATCCAGGTAATTCAAAGAATCAGAACACCATCTTGTAAAATGGTGCATTTTTGAGATCTTCTGTGTTCTTGGAGTAAATATTAAAAATATATTGCGGAAAATTATTGGCTCAATCTTGTACAAAACTGAGAATATTTGTTTTCATATACGGGGGGAGGGGGGGGGGGGAGCTACAAAGTGACTCTCTTGATCTGTGAGGAAACGTATTAATAGGTTACGTGAAACGAGGAAAGTATACAAGACAAATCCCATTGCACGGTGTTACATATCGTTGGAATAAGTAACATTATCGCAATATAGAAATATACATATCGTAGGATATGAGTTAAATCGCTCCTATGCTAAATGCCTGATAAAAGAGGCTAAAAATATCGTCGAACACCTTTCGTAAACTACACGGTGAATCGCTGAAGCAATCGTAACGTTTCAACTGTTGACTTCGGATGAATTGGCAATTTTTTTTAGATAAACGCTAATATACACTACATCGATTAATGAAACTGTTTTGAGAAATAACAATTCTGTGCGGAGGATAGAAAAATTCAAGTAAACTATGAATAATGGGGTAGAATTAAAATATTTACGAATTTGACGAATACTTGAGTTTCAGTTTTCTTTGACTGCACTTAAATGTATCTACCACATGCATCGTTTTTTTTTTCTTAATCTATTTTAACGTTGCATCAACACCCTAACGACGAGAATGTTAAAGTTTACTTATATTATTTTATTAACAATCTTCGTTTTTTAGATGAATTCAAACAGGTTTTACGTTAAGAATGATTAGCCTCAAACAAGGAACGAAACGAACAATTCTATCATACTATGTCAGATTGTTTAAAAAGTCTTAGTGAATTCAAAAGTGAAAAAAATGTCGATTATAAAAATTGTAATGATGTATAGTATCCAGTACAATAAGATAATTATAATTTACGATTTTAAATTAGTGATTATAATTTGCAATTTTAAATTACAATTAGTAATTACAATGAATATTTCACTGGAACTGTTATTCTTCAAAGAACTCTACATCGATCGATGATCTCACAACATTTATCTTTAAAAAAAAAAAAAAAAAATAATAATAATAATAATAATAATAAACATCATCTGAAGTGCTGAATTCAGAAAGTGCGAATTCTTCCACGATTCACTGAATATATACCGCGTAAAACATTATTATATTATCGAAGACGCGTTCTCGGAACGTAGAGCCGTAAAGGCATTCACGTGGAAAGTAAACTGTGTTTTGCAACTCGATGGATAGTTAAGATTATGATACCTTTAAGGCATTAATATTACAAGTAATAGCTGCATATCGGAATTAGGTTAATGATAACGGTACGTCGCGACGCGATCCTCGATCCCGATGAAAATCGAAGAAGAGTATCGATCGATTCTACTGATCCTTGTTAAGGCATAGATAAACCTAACTAACATTTCCTATAGTACTCATTGTTCTGTATTAGACACCTTCGCATAACCCACAAACGATCAATTGTCCATTCTAATTAATTGCATATGGACGCTATAATGATACTCAATTATGTTGCAAAAAAATACCACGTGCAATATTCGACGAAATTTTCAGAAAATATATATGGTACATAAAATATGTAATTTTCAAAATTTCTCAAATGAAATGAAACTTTAGGTAGGATGGAAACACGATCAAAGTAACAAAAAAAAAAAATGAATTCTCTACTTCGATCGAGGGACGTAGGTTTCGTGTCGATATATCACACAACATACACATATCATTTATACGCCCAAATTTTACCTGTAAGATAACGGTTATGATATATCGTTTTAAGGCTTCACTGATGCATAAATCTCGAAAGATCGTATACATATCGTGAACGTATGAGATTTAAGAGAATTTATTTGTTAATATATATATAATATATATACGTTACATATAATATATACATATTATTACGATCATCAAAGATATATTATATACCTATATATTATATATATACATATACGCATTGGATGTTTTTTTTAAGAAGTTTCAGCGATAAGAAAATACGAAGTCGTCGTTTGCACGCAGTCGTCCAGAGATTAACTTCGATTTTATTTTTCAGCTAAATATTTATCGAAGCATTTCTGCGTTCTTAATTGTTATCCATATTTCACCATAGAAGTCCAAAACATAAGGGGCATTGTATTGAACGATTTGAATAATTATTATTATTATAATAACTATATAATCAATATTATATATAATTAATTATATCTATATAATTAATAGTATATACAATATTAAAGATATATTGTATAACTACATATCATATATGATTGTTATAATATTAATTATGAATAATTAATAATTGCAATTAAAATTAAACGATACGCCGAGCGCGATTCTTTGCAGGCCCTACAATTAGCTTAGGATCCGCGGGATGCATATCAAAAATAATTTTTAAATCGGTGACTCTATCGACAAGTATTTATTGGTAAGACAGCGTGCAAACGATCGTAACTTGAACAAAAAAAATATAGCAGTAGATGCAAGAGTAGAAAGTAGTAACGTTAGCATAGATGCACTTATCCAGTGAGTCAGGAGTTCGGATTGCGACAGTATTATCGACTGGAGTCAAAGGGAAGAAAGTCTGTTGGAATGTAGCACTTTACCGACCGGCTTTCTCGACAATTTACCATGGCAGCAAATACTTTGTTACCTACCACTGAGAGCATTGTATGCTCCCATCATTACAGGAATTGTGAAACATTATGAGAAGTATTAATCTGAGAACGAATTTATTCTATAAAATACATATTTATGCAATAGTAATGTTATGAAGATATAAAATATTATGAAATTTAATTATATGTCCAATCCCTACCGGTCGGTAAGTTGTTAGCACGCACACTGCATTACCATTGTTGCTCTCAGATAACATTGAATCGAGAACAGATTGAAAAAACTTTTAATTATAAATTTTGTACCGCAACAGTTTATTTCTATGGATCTAATCACTCCTCTCTGGCGCGCCGTCGACTCCTGACTCGAGTAGTGATGGATGTATCTTTTAGGATGATCGTAGAACGATGAGAAAACGGGGAGAAAAGTCGATTGCGCATAACAGTGCCGGAGACATCCCCTAAGAACCATGTCGAGACATATCTCTAATGGCCGTAGTTGTAGTCTCGCCGGCTGCGTTGTTATTATTACTAATTATTATAAGCGGTATTTTTGTACAGTGTCTTACAGTGGTTGGGTCGTTGCAGGCGCAGCCGACGAGCCGTTCACGGCATAGCCATATAATATACATATATATACACACACACATTGCATATATATATATTTATTTCGATTATAGCGCGTAATACTCTGAGAACATTTCTTCGACGCGTTCGTATACACACGGATATACATATATGCGTGTGTGTAAAATACGTGTAAACATAGTTAACGTGTCAGGCTACGGGACTAAGTGCGTGAAAAAAAAAATAGAGGCGAACAAGTGGAAAGGACCTATTGCACGAACACAAACCGACGCTTTTAACCTATGTCTCCTGTTTCTATTGAACTACGATGGACGTCTTCGCTCATGTATATCTCGGTGCTCTCTTAAAAACACTGTCCGCTTGTTTAACGCTCCGAAGACACTCGTTTGGACTTTCAATACCTTACTGTTAGTGTATACGCTGGTGCAAAACGTACACGCGAACACATGGGGGACATGTTCACGTACAAAATAGTTATACGAGCATATAGGCACGCATATGATAGAATCTGCGAGTACATTACCTACGTACCTATGTGTTATCTTCTCTTTAATTAAAGGTTAAGTAATTCGTGTGTGCGTAAAAGGAACACAAAGCACGTTTTTTAGAGTATATATATGAATGGGGAAAATAAGTATTATTGGTTAGCACGCATGAGTGCAGTCTATGGGATTAACCACTGTGGATTACACGCCTGCACACAACACACAACACACAGACACGCGCGCGCGCGCGCGCGCACATACACAGGAAACTTCATGCCTAAAATGACATATCGGTGTTACAACGTACGAATATATATATATATATATATATAAATATAAATATTATGTAAAACGCAGATACACGTAAAAGTTCGTCTGTATATGTCTATAAATACTGTTACATATATGTATGGTCATTATATGATAATTATTACGTGATATGTATTATGAAACATCTTTTTCTCGCAATGGTCCGCGAACACGGACATCCACTCAGATTCTAATGTCTATATGTCATTGTTTATTATGTCGTTAACGATTAACGTGTATATGTGAAACTTTCAAACCGAATAAAAAGTACCTAAGCATATGATCGTGGTGTGTTTAATGCAATATATCCTTCTTTTCTTAATGAATAATATGTCGAAGTAATTGTGACTAATCTATTATTTTTCAACGTGAGCGATTTTCTCATCTGATTTTGGGAGGCAATGGTCACTTTGAGGGATGCCAAAATACTGTATA